CGTATTCAAACAACAAGGTCGACCAATTGGTCGACACACAATACAAAAATTGACACAAGTCAAACACAAAACAACCCATTAATATATATTGTTGAACCGTAAAGAAGTAAAACCTTACATTAAGTGAGTTTGTCAAAATTTAAACTCTAGATCATATATATTTAATTACATATAATAATAATAGCAATTATAGTAAAGATTGACTCACGTTTGTTATTAATCCTCTTCATTGAATTTCTTATTGAAATTGGATCGAACAATCCCTTCATGTTTGAGAATGAGGTCGATACTCTAATTAAAAATAAGTTTGCCTCTTAGTATAGTCTATATGTGAGTATTATCATTTTATTCATATTTAGTATATTGATAGCATTAATTGAAAAATAACTAAACTTTTATGGGATTTTAGGTTTAATTTACAAACACAAAATACACAAGTAATTTGTATGAAAAACCAATTCTTGAATGATCTTGCACAAGGCTCATTGCTTACTATTAGAATGTAGACTCGGTTATTTTGTTAACAATTATAGGTTTCGTACACTTGAAGGATCTTCAAAAATAGGTTCTTTTAATAGTGGTTTCTACATTAAAGGAAGCTCTTACGGATAGCTGAAAGTGACTATTACGGGATATTGATAAAAATTCTTGAAGTAAAGTATCTTGTATTACCAATTAAGAGAATAATATTATTCAAATGTAATTGATTCAATCCTACACCATAAGAAATAAAGGTCCATCCGCAATACAAACTTGTGTATGTTAACTATAAGTGAAGCTTGAACAATTACGAACCATTTGTCCTAATATCAAAGTCGACTCGTGTGTATTATGTCGAGTAACCCGACTTGAGGTGCAAGAACCGAGATTGATGGGCCGTGTGTAAGATTAAAACTAGGTGTGTGTTTGACTTACCCGATTCATCAACTCGCCATTAACTATAATGTTGAACCATTCTAACAAGATGATCTATAAATCTAACGAGAATTGATAGATGAAGTCAAAGATGTTATTTTGTTGAATAATCCAAATGGATCAATTATAGATTTAGAAGTAGGTATGGTTGACGAAGATGATGATAATGAGTGTGAAAATGCTTCGGATGATGAAGATGATAAATTAAATAGTGATTATGATAGTTCTAATTAAATATATATTTTATTTATTATGTTAGTAATAAATGATGTAATTTTTATTTCTTTATTAATTTGTTACATGTAGTAAATAATATCGATTTTCATATATTTTCCAAATGTTGGTTCCGTACTTTGATTGTTTAGTATTAGTAATAAATGATGTATTTTTATTTTTTTATTAATTTATTCTGATAATATATCTATTAAATTTTGTTTATTTGTTTAAGCTTAGATCATGTAATAATGACTCATGGTTTGGGCCACCCCGCATAGTCAAGATAGGACCACGTTCTAATAGTTGTGGACGAGCATCACCATTTGATAGTAATCGACTCGGATTCCTTACTAGTATCGATCGTGGATCACCAACTATCGAGCTTTTATGTAGGGCTCGTGGCTCCCACGGCCATAGAGCCAACACATCTATAGTGACCGTACAGGATGCCCCATCCGCACCGACACCGCAGGTTGCCGCTCTAACGCTAGAGATTCCAACATTAAGCTTCGAGAATGCTCAATTCGCTAGCGTATCTAGTGTTCCGTATAGTTCATACGGCTCCTCTAATCAACAATGTATTTCTATCACTCGAGGACGATATGTAATTATTTTTTACTTTAATATATGATTTCAATAGTTTTTGTGTTTTTTTAATTTTTCTTTTTTGCTTTTATATTCGATAGTTTCACTTTTCCTAATAGAGATTATGTCATGAAGATAACCATAATTTTTAAAAAGCAATTGGACATCAATGGATCAACTTAGAAGTCTTTCTCCGACCTCACTAAACAATTCTACTTTAGTGAATTTAGGATAATGTATTGTTCATTTTCGTTATAATTAAAATATTTTTTAAAAAATAAGGTAGTTAATATTAATTTTTTTATTCATATAGAAATATTTTGACTAGGATTCGACCATCGAGGTGCTTGTCGAGTTGCATGGGAGGCTCGATAAAAAAATGCTACGTCGACTTCGTCAACAACTATAGTTTATCTCGCTGATCAGCTTGCTTTTATTAGATAAAAGTTCTAGGACACATGGAAACATGATTTCACGAGATCGGATCGTATGACTCATTCGGAGCAAACATCATGAAACCGGTTATCGAAGATCGATGACCCCGGTGCGGTCTTTCTAGATATATAAAAGGCTTCATATCTAATATTACACAATTTGTCCAGTATTGAAACCATATAAATTTCTATATCACCTAGACTTACAAATAACACTACACGTAATTTTTCCAATATTAAAACCATCTCGTATAGTAGTTATATCTTTCTTCTTCTTCTTCGTCTTTTGGTTTAATTGTAAATATATATTTTAGATCAATTTTACTATCTAAGATTAAGTTTTTTTTTTTTTATCAGGATTTAGGTAGACCATTTCAATTTAGATCAGTGCATTGATAAGGTTTTTTTTTTTTTTTTGCAACTTTTCTAAAAGATGACATGAATAACAAATTTATTTAATTATAAACAAACTGATTGTATTTTTTTTTTTTTTTTTGCAACGTTTCCTGAAATTTAAACTCCAAACTGACTGTACAAAATTTTCTCTCGAACAAAATCAATATAGATAATATGTAAAAAATCTGACTAAAAGTAATTTTGTTTGAGTATATAAACACCGGTATATACATATGAACAATTCTTTATTATTAAAAGTTAAAAAAAAAAAAAATGACGGTGACCCCTTTACTGGCTGTACTTGTATCTTCTTGTTTCAGATAGGTTGATTAGATTGGGCTCTGTTAGCCAGCGCAGTACAGCAATGAGGAGCTGGTTGAAGCCAAAAATGTCAATTTCACACTCACTTTATTGTTGAATTATTATGACAGCCCAGATATTTTCTTAATTAAGATATATATATCTGGAAGTTTGTCTCTATCCCTTTAGAAGATTAAAATTTTTTTTTACAAAAAAAGGTAATGAATAAAAAATACGTTTGGTTCACTCATACAACAGAACGTGAAAATCTTTCTATTTTTTTTCAAATATTGTTAATTAACTTCACAAATAATATATATTATTAAAATCCTACTAAGCATTATATATCTTTATAATCATGGAGACGAATCACTTTTATTTATTTTTTTACCGAATATAACATTAACACAAATAAATTTAATTTCAATTAAGATGTAAAAATAACTTTATTTGAAATCAACTTGAATGAAATTAATTACGAAATGTGATGACAAAAATCTCCTTTGCCAAAATTTCCCTAGCCAGTAATTGATTTTGTGCATCACTGATTTCTGTATTTTTCACGCTATTATTCTCTAATCTCCGGTTTGTTGTTGTTAATATTTAAAACGTTCAATGTCAGTACAAAGAATTAGGGATTATACTCATTAACTGAACAATCATTTCCATCACCTATGTATAAATAAAAAATATCGAAATTTTCACCTTTATATCTATATTTCTTTTATCCATATTCATGTTTGACATTCAAGCTTTTCTCCATGAACTGTCAAATGCTTTCAATTTGAAAGGGAAACTTCCTACATTTTTCCCCCACTCCATTAAAGCACGCTATAAAACATGTATTTTTCGTCTTCTTGGAGCAGGCAAACTTCATTTGCAAAATTAGAATGATGGTATTAATTATGAGAGTACTCTATGTATTCTTGGCAATAAAAATATAACTGCAACCTCCAATATACATATATATATATATACAAACTATTACCATATGACAGATGATAGTACATAGAAATTTTCGTCTTCAACACTCCAGCTATTCTAATAAGTCCATATGTATCAACATCTCGAGAATATTATTTAACTTTGATTTTTTAAACTTTTTTTATGTTTTTGTTTTTTTTGTGAATTTTTTTTTATTTTTACTCACACACTTGCACCAGATTGGTATTAAATAGTATTGATTTATTTTAGTTACCTTAAACTGACCACAGTTAAAACGAACTTAAATTAAAATGAAAAAAATCTAACTTCAATTAATACTCATCAATTGAACAATTACATCCCGAGACCGATGTTAACTTTGTCTCGAGGCATTTCGCTTTCTATTTTTTTTTTCCTTTTAAGTACAACAGCTCTACATTATAACTACATATATTATGCCTTGAAGGGTCTGGTAAAAAAAAAAAAAAAAAAGATTCAGTTCGTGTAATTATGTAAAATCTCAAGTTTAAATGTCATCATTGTTTTTTCAGTTGAAGGTATGTATATATACTTTCCCCACACATAAATGAATATTTTTCTGCATTTATCAGCTAAAGTAGAAGAATAAAAATATTTTTATGGCAATAAGTTAATTTTCTCTTCACCGTCTAAACCATCTATATTAAAGAAATAAACAAGACTAATAAATTGTTAATCCAACGGTAAAAAAGTTAAATTTAAGCAAATTATTTGTCAATCTAAATAATTCGAATTTCGAAATTATACTTATTAAAAAAATTAAACTGAATCATTTTCACTCTCTACACAGAATTAGCGTGACTTTCAACCTGGAATGAGATGCCTCGATAAAGTGAAAAATAAAATAAACATGAAACGATAAAATTTATAGAAAAAAACAGTTGTTGAAAAGTGAATTAACTAATAAATTACCGAGCGAAAAGCTCTCTCGGATTGCGCACATAAAAATATAGGCAAAGACAAGAGAAGAGAAACCACAAGGGCCGGTTACAGACGGCCTCCATAACAGTTCACTCACTAGCTAGCCGGCCATTCTTAATTATTTGACAGCACACACTTTTCTAACGCTATTCTCCCTTATCATCCCTTTAAAAGCCTCCTCATTGGAGGACTCAGTCATATCTCTCAATTTTATCTCACATTAAGATTCTAGCTTCTAGCTATATTGAACGTACGTGCAGCTCAGTTTTCATGGCGAAATTATCACAGCAGAATACAAAAAACAGTACAGCAAATAACAAGAATAATACGACTAATAATGGTGTTACCAAGGTGAAACGAACAAGGAGAAGTGTGCCAAGAGACTCTCCTCCTCAACGAAGCTCCATTTATCGTGGGGTTACTAGGTCATAAACCATTTGCATGCCTTCATTTGCTTTATCAAGTTCTTCTTTTCTCCTTCTGCCTAAAATGATACCATCGTATTAATTACTGTTTCAGGCATCGATGGACTGGCCGATATGAAGCTCATTTGTGGGATAAGAATTGCTGGAATGAATCACAAAACAAGAAAGGAAGACAAGGTGATTCCATTTCACCACCTACATTATCATTTTTTTAAAAAAGTTGTAGAGATCTTAGAAATGGTTATGGGGCAATGCATTAATGTAACTTCTTTATTTCCTTTTTGGGGCAATGGCTGGTTGTTTTTGCCGTGATACTTCGATAATGCAGTCTATCTTGGTACGTATCATCATTACATGCTTTCTTTTTTCTTTAATAAAACCATTGGAAAATTGAAATTTGAGATCGAGTGGTAGTTCTTATGGCATTTGTGATGACTACTATTGATCAGGTGCCTATGATGACGAACAAGCTGCAGCACATGCTTATGACTTAGCAGCACTCAAGTACTGGGGTCCTGAGACGATTCTTAATTTTCCGGTAATTTTATATCTGTATTTTCCAAATACGATAAGATGTTTGGATGGTTTAGTTATTTAGTTTTCGTGATAATTAACAGAGGAATTTGTTGTTATATTGATTGATTATATGTAGTTATCGACATACCAAAACGAACTGAAAGAAATGGAGGGTCAGTCTAGAGAAGAGTACATTGGATCATTGAGAAGGTAAGCTTCTTGCATCTATGATGTGGAATTATGGATCCTTGCATAAGGAATTGCTAAATTGATGAATTAATTTCTACAGAAAATTGATTCATTCTGACCTTCAAATTTATAGGAAAAGCAGTGGTTTTTCTCGTGGAGTTTCAAAATACCGAGGAGTTGCTAGGTACTTTGTTCTTTAATTATATAGTACATTTATACAATTTTCCTCATTTGCAAGCTTCTAAGTGAAAGCCTCAAATTTTCAATTATAACTCAACTAAAATAATAAAAAACTGAATCCCATTTCTCATTAGTTGGATCTCATTGAACACACACACATATATATATAACCCACAGCTTCAAAATTTTAAGTGCATTAATTAACTTTGTTAATTTAAATTAATTTCAATGGTCAGGCATCACCACAATGGAAGGTGGGAAGCTCGGATTGGTAGAGTATTTGGCAATAAATACCTATATCTTGGGACATATGGTAATTCCTCCTTGATGTTTTCCACTTTTATTAAGGGATTTTTTTTATTATTATTTTAATTTTGGGACAATTACCTCTGATGTTATTAGCCACATTCGAATTCTATTAGCTAGAAATATATCATTTCCTTTTTCTTTTAACCTGTCTAGAAATGTCCAATTGAAAAGGACATGGGACATGCATGGGCAACTCCAGACTATTTTTTATTATTATTAGTATATCAGAAGATCCAAACTAAAGAGTTTCCTTAGTACTGTCATTACAGTGCATGCACAAAAATTTTGAAACTCCAACCATGCAAAATGAATCCTAACATTAATAAACGATTTTTTGTTGCAAAACCATCCACTAGCAACTCTTATTTATTAGTAGTCCCCTCTTACTTGACATGCAGAAGATTTTTCAAATTGCTAATATTTCACGCAAAACGGATTGATCATAACTTCAATCGATAGATCTTTAATTTCACTTAAAATAACCCACCACTAATTATATCTTGTTATTATTATTATTATTATTATTGCAGCTACCCAAGAAGAAGCTGCCACCGCATATGATATGGCGGCTATAGAGTACCGGGGCCTAAACGCTGTTACCAACTTCGATCTTAGCCGGTACATCAAGTGGCTCAAACCCAATCAAAATAACGGTAACAACAATAATGATCTAAATCTTCCTAACCCTATCATAGGCACTGATGACTCAGCTCATCCTAACCCTACTCAAGAACTTGGACTTATAACGAGCTTCCTTCATGACAACCAACAGACCTACCAACCTAGTGAACCTAGTGAAACTACCTTAATTCAACCACGGCCAGCAGCGAATCCCACCTCAGCCCTAGGGCTCTTACTTCAATCGTCTAAGTTCAAGGAAATGATGGAAATGACAGCAGTGACGGATTGCCCACCAACCCCATCGTCAGGATTCGACTTGACACCATGTAGCTTCCCTGAAGACGTACAAACATATTTTGAGTGCCAAGATTCAAGCAACCATGGAGAAGGAGATGATATGATTTTTGGTGACCTCAACTCGTTTGTGCCACCCATGTTTCAGTGCGATTTTGAGACATAGAGATTAATCAAGGTGATTTTGTTATTAAATTAATTCTCTATAATATTAAATTAGAAGGTTCTTTGTGAATATGAGACTACTATGCAGGTCTTTGACTCTCCCTGATCATTTGGTGAAGGGTTAGAGTAGTTCCTTAGGATTGAAATTTCTTCGAAGAAGAAAAATTAAAGAACGAGGAGGAGAAGAGATAGTGGTAGCTTGGAAACCTGATTTCAGATAGCTAGTTGCCTATTTATTATTTGGTTTAATTGTTTGTAGAGCGAAATAAGGGAAAATAAACGTTAGTGTTTATCATCCTTTTTATTTTTTATTTTTTGTACGAATAAGATGTATCATTTTTCTGTCAATAAAAAGTCTATGAAATAGATGTAATATTCATTTTTTCAGCAATAAAAAGTCTGCTGAATTGATGTAATTTGCACACATGCATAAAAGTAATATCTTCGCTAATTACTTCCAGAAATATTTTTTGCATTTCCTAACACAACCTCTTAAATTTTTGCAAAGGAAAATTCAGTGTATGCGGTTTAAAAACACTAGTAGATCACAAGTGTTAGCTTGTTCCATACTTCAATTCTTTCGACATAGGAGTTAGCAAGATCTTTGAGTCATCGGGTGAATCATGGCTCAATCTTATGAGGTGTTTGATAACCTATTAAGTTGTAATAATTAATATAAAAAGTTTGTTTGATAACCTAAATAATCTCATATTAAAAATTTAAGTTCAGTCAAAATCTATTAGTTAGATAAGTTAAAATTGTTAACTTATTACTTTTTGATTAATACGCTCAATTGAAAGATTTTTAAAATTTTTAAATATGATTAAATTGCCCTTATATATTCTTATAACTTTAGCTATACAAACCAACCGAACAACAAGTCTCTACTATCTCTATTGTTAAAACAAAGAAAACCTTTTCTATTATCGGTGCTTCCATCTCAATATTTGAAATGCTAAAGTCTAATCTAATTATCGATAATTGTATATTTTACATGTTTCTATCAAATTTGAGCGAGTTAGGTAGATGAAACAGTACACGCATCATGACTTCTTAATCGAGAGCTCGATACATGTAAAAGAAAACGATGAAAATGGCATGGCCCACAATCTTATAAGTCCTAAATGAATACACCAATAATCTTTAAAGAATGCATCCAACACCGCTTGTTGCTAATGGCTAGATAATTCACTATAAATCATAGCTCTAAAAGATATGCAAGAGCATAAAACCCCCGACCTTTTTAGGTACTCAAGTTTGATGAAAAACATGTTAAATAAAATCGTGTCGCTCATCATACCCTTAGAAGTGAGTTCCTAATGCATCAAAAGTATACAAAAATACAATTACAATATCATTATGGAGTACAACTTCAATTATTTAGTCATTTAGCCGTTTTCTCCAATTTTTCAAGGTTCAACTTTCTAGCATAGACTTTATCCATCAAACACCAACAATTATTAAACCATGATAATGAAAACACTAACAAAAAGCAATCTACACTCACCTCTCGAACATGCTTCTCAAGGGATTTAAGTTTAAAATCCGCATCCTTATTGTCACGAACAAAATCCGATCGCATTTCTCCAATTGATTTATTAAGGTTGTAGTAACACAATTCCAACTGGGACACTCGTGAACCGATACCCTCAAGAAAACACATGATGTTGTCAGTATGTCTTTTCATGCTTTTCTCAATAGTAGTGACCACATCTTGATTAAAAGAATCATCTAGCCGACTATAGAAAGTAGCAGGAAACGTTGATGACATTGTCGTTCTCTTTTGTGAAAATCCTATTGAAGTATAAAATAGTAGATCCGCATAAGTAAATGAGATAATAATTCTACTTATATTAAACGGATATTAAAAAATAATGCACTTCAAGTAGAAAGCAAAAAGCTATTAAAAAGATCTAAGAAAATGATTTGAATTGGGCTTTCAATTCTAGACCTAGAAGGACTTCTCAAAGCATACACTCCGGAAATATCAACAAGGTTTCCAATTCTAAAGACAATGGCTCCATATCCATTTGTAGTTCGGAGAGATATTATTATTACATGTGTTGTAATACAATTATCGAAGAATAATTGTTATCGATAGCTTTTTTGAACAATTTAATGACAAGTATGTGATGTATCAAACACCAAATTTTACCACAAATTTACCATTCATTAGAGGAGGTACATAAGCACGAGTTGATCAAAGATTTATGAGATCAAATTGTAAATGAATTAATTAGTACTTGAGATTTTATTTATTTTATGCATGATACAACAATTAATGTTATCTTAGATCGTATTTAATTTTTTTTATTAATAATCATTTTTATTTATTTGTACACACAAACACATGTATCTATGTATGTATTTGTATTTGTGTTAAAAAAATATCTTGTTACAATTACAAGGTTAAAATGATCATATATATATCCTTAATATGTTCAATAACGATACTTATCAAACAAGCTTATTATATTCAGCATTTAATTTTCAGTAAATACCAAATAGCGTGTCGAGAACATATTTAATACTTAACGATTCGGGACTTAAAATTCAATACTTAACGGATTCAGTACTTAATCTTCAGCTTTACCAAACACCACCTTAAATAATTTCACAATTAGAGCAGCTTTTCAAAGTCAATAATTGATCAAGACTTTTATTGACTCCTTCAAATTGTTTTTTTGAATCCTCATTGAGCACCTTAATTTACTCATCAATTAATTTGTTAAAATTTAGCCTTACACTACAAGAAAATAAAAAAATAACGACATAATTTTTCGTCGTTATTTACTTTTAGTGATAAATTTGTGACAATATTTTTCGAGTAGATAAAACAGATTGTTGCGATTTTTTTCGCGATAAGAATTTTTATCTATCGCTGATTAGTGATAGCGTATTCGTTGACAACGATCACGATTTGATCGCCGATACAAACTTCAATCAATCCGTAAATTCCATCGTTATTTGACAATTTTTTTGTAGTGTTGTTTGTTTTGATTATTTTTCAAGAGCTAGAATTCATTTTGTTTTTATATTTTCATATGCTCATGCAATGCATGAAAATTGAAAAATAACAACAAATTTTTCCATCGCCATATCATTAATATCCATCGTTATTTACCTTAGTGATGGATTTATGATAATATACTTTCGATAGCACATCTCCTCAATCTATTATCTCGTTGCAACACCATTGCTAATTGGTTATTTTTGTCGCTAACTAGCGATGGAATACCTTATTGCTAAATCGTACTCACTAAAATATGTTGCTAAAGCTGTCATTATTTAGAGATAGTACATGTTTTTATCCCAAAGAGGTTTAGTTTTTATCACTAATCAATCGCTAAATGAAGATATATATATATATATATATATATATATAAACCGTTTAATGTTAATGGTAGTAGCAAATAACTAAAAATAACACCTTATTAAAATATAATATATTATTTAATAAAATTAAAATAATATATAAATTAGTTAAAGTGTCTAAAAATATTAAAAACCTTTTTAAAAAATAAGAAATCTAGTCCTAATCATCTCCCGTATCATCTTTTGGCTATTAGGTATTGAGAGAAACGATTGACTTTTGGATTATGGGAAGGTCAACAAGAGGGACATAAATTTACTCTGCAGTCTTGTAACAACCTTATTACTATTTGTATCTAACTCGTAGAGTGTTGAATTGATTGGGATGTTCTTGGATTGAAATATCCATATAAAAGGAAAAACATCTTATGGAGGAGTGAAATAAATAACAAAATTATTTCATTCTATCTAAAATCCCAAGATCACCATTGAATCGTATAATTATATTAAAAGATCATTTAGACTCTCACCTCTTAAAGTACTATAACAAGGTAGTAGATTAAACCGTCTAGCGTCCAATCTCTAGTGAAAACCTACACGACTTAGACACTAATACAAGAGAAGCGACAAAAAAGAGAGTGCTAACTTTAATTTCTTTCTCGCTATGAAAATTACACATTAATGTTTTCTCTAAGGGAAAATTTTAGCTAACGTACTCTCTCTTGAGTTGTATAACTTGATGCATCTTATTCTTTTATAAACCATCTTTTAGGTTTAATGAACTTCTCTTAAAAGTTCTCAAAAATGTCATTTCACTTAAAATAGTCTTTATATGATTTCACTTAAGTCTATTAGCTCAACACTTTGAGTCTAATGACTCAACAATTAAATAGACTATATAAATAAGTTGGATCAAATATTTTAAGAATGCTAATTTAGGAAACTATTTTCTAAATTAGCCCTATTATTTTAGAAAACCCAATTAAATTTTTTTTCTTAAATTACGCTTGTTAATTTAGGAAAGCTAATTTAAGAAACTATTTTCTAAAATAACCCCTATTGAATTCTAAGAAAGTCAATTTAGGAAATTATTTTCAAAATTCTCTTAGTGTTTAAAGAATTGAAATTAGTTATTTCAATTCCCATTTTCTTTCATAATTCTTTGATTCTTTTTATCCAAGTCAATATCAAACTTATGTGTGTGACTCAATAAGCTTTTAGATATGTTAGTAATATATCGAGAAGCAAAAAAAAAAAGTCTTTTGTCTCTCAATACTAAATCAAGATTGGCTTTTAGTAAGGTATCATGACTATCAAATTATCAAGAAGGATTTACTTAATCCTTAACAACTTTCACGAGTATGGTTTCTATATAATTTAATCCTTGAGTCAATTTATCACATTGTGATCTCGAACTTGGTTTGGTGTATATTCGATTATGATCATATAAAATTTTTTTTATCTTCGAATGTCTTAGCTCTCGACTAAACCAATTATATTCTATTGATATACTTCCACCGTGACCATAGATTCTTAAGCGGATATTTATCAAAGTGCAATGTGATAACTCCTTCAACATATAAGGAATGACATCTTTTATCTTAGTTATCCACTTATCTCTCTTAAATTCATGATATACCCAATGAATAGCCTACATAAAGCTTTTTACTTAGTCTATCGTAATGAATTTCAAAGCTTATCAATCTTCTAATGAGATAACTATGATAACTTTAAGTTAAAAGACTACTTGTACCCATCTTATATGAGATCTCTATAGACTATACGAAATGGATTCTCATGGTGAATCTCGTTTCATGATATATTCTTTAACATTATTCAAATGTGTCCTTGCTTAGGCATCATCATATCGGTAGGTATGAGATCTCTTAATATTATCTTATAATATGAGCATAATCTACACAAGTCTTACCACATATTGTTATTATCCAATTTTGATAATACTATGACTTGGAACATCTAATGATTTCATTTAAATGCACTCGTGATTTTTCTCACATCTATTGATCAATCATCAAAGCAATGATCATATGAATTTTTATCTAATTTAATCAATTTATAAATAATATGAATTAATAGAAATATTCTTTATTAATAAATATGTAATAATATAATATTCAAATAATCTAAATAGGTTGAATTTTGGACACCTATAGTAACATTCTCTCACTTACACTAGAGCTAACCAATCATTTCTCTAACAAGATCAAATAGGAGTTTGATATTTCTACTATGATAAAAATTTAGTCAAAAGATCTATTATATTGTCATCGGTATGTACATTTTCTATCTTTATGTCACCACGATTGATAATCTCTCTTATTAGATGGTAATGTCACAATACATAATTGAATCATTGATGAGACCTTGGTTCTTTACCTTGTGTTATGACTCTATTGTTACCAAACTATAGTATTATGGGACACAAACTTATGAATCCATACAACTTTCTTAGCTAATGCGACACAAACTAATGAATCCATACAACTTTCTTAGCTATTTCTACGGTTGCAATGTATTCAACCTTAGTTGTTGAGTCGAATATTGTTTCTTAATTAAAAGTTTTCTAGCTTACACCACAATTCAATTGAAAAATAAATCCCGATTGTGACTTAAAGTCATTATAACTAGTTTTAAAACTAGTATATGTGAACCCTTTCATAACTAGCTCATTTTCTTCACGAGACTAAGAAAGCATCCTTTATTATTCATAAGTATTTAAGAATGTTCTTTCTAATAATTCAGTAATTTTTCACCTAGATCAGCTTGATATCTATTCTAAATGCTCAAAACATATAAGACATCAAGCCACATGTAAAGTATGGCATACATGATCGATCCTATGGTAGATGTATAAGGAATATGATTCTTTTTTTTATTTTGTTTTATGTTTTAGGAAACTTATCCTTAGAGATATTTATGCCATGTGACATTAGAAGAAGTCCCCTCTTTGATTATTTCTTATTAAACTCTTTAATACTTTGTCAATATCCATGTTTTGGAAGAGTCCTAATATTCTTTGTGATCTATCTCTATAGATTCCGATTCCCAAAACGTAGGTTATCTCCTATGTCTTTCATGGAGAAGTTTTTGGATAACTAATTTTTTACAAATTACAACATGATAATGTCATTATAGAGTAGTACCATGTCATACATATATAGAACAACAAAGGCTACTAAGCTCTCACTAACCTTCTTATACACGCAATGTTCATATTAGTTTTGTTAAAAATCAAATTTTGTTTATTGTTTCATCAAAACATTGGTTCTAACTCTTAGAAGCTTGCTTAAATCTATAAATAGATTTTTATAACTTGTGGATCTTATTTACATGTCCTTAGGTAACAAAACCATTAGGTTGTGTCATGTACATATCCTCATGTAAATTTCCATTAAGATAAGCTATTTTAACATCCATTAATCATATCTAATAATCATG